GGAGTGAAAATTGGTACAACCTTTGTTCACAGTGCCGATGTCATTTAAATACTTCATATCATTTAAATGACTAGAAGTGTGCACAAAACTAAAAAAAAAAAAAAACCCTAAAGTTAGGTGCTAAAGTATTTCTATGGTGTCATTTGTAATAATTAAAAAAATTACAGTCTGCCAGACACCAGTTGGTCACACCTATAATCCTAGCTGCTCACGAGGCTGGATCTGAGGATTGAGTTCAAAGCCAGCCCTGTCAGGAAAGTCTGTGAGACTCTTATCTCCAATTAACCACCAGAAAACTGGAAATGGTGCTGAGGCTCAAGTGGTAGAGTGCTAGCATTGAGTTGAAGAGCTCAGGGACAATGCCCAGACCCAGAGTTCAAGCTCCACAACCAACAACAACAAAAAATATGGTCTAATTTGTGGGACTGATTGAATGAATGACTTATCAACATGATAAATGGCACCAGCCATTGAAATATAAAAGCAATCTGGAAGGTTATTCACATTAATTCTTTGGTGAAAAGCAGAGGTTGTAAAAAAATTTTTTTGTAACTGTAAAACACACACTGCATAGAAAGAATATGGTACAGAAAACAATCACCTTTTAGTATAGTTGTGAGACATTTTTGCTTTTTTCTTTGTTTTTCTACAGTTTCATTGTAATTTCTAAAATAAATACACATTACTTTTATGAACTGGTAAAAAAAAAATAGACAATGAATGTGATTTAGAATGTGCTCCAGTCTGTAAGCAAAGAAGCTGCCATTCTCAGGTGGTGCTCATCTTAGGTAACAGCAACAATTAAAGTTAGCAGTAAAGAGAATCAGGATTTCACAAAGCCAGCTGGCTGGAATGGAAGCAAAAATTAGGTGACAAATGAACTCAGATCTTAGTAAATTATACAATGTTTTCCATCCTCTGGTCAAACCATCAAAACTAGACATATGACATTACAATTTGTCCCTCAAAAATATGCCATCTATCAGTGACTAATGCCTATAATCCTAGATACTTAGGAGGCTGAGATCTGAGGAGTATGGTTTGAAGCAGGCCTGAGGAAGGAAAGTCTAGGAGATTCTTTTTTTGGGGGGGGAGGGTGTCCAGTCGTGGGCCTGAACTCTGGGCCTGGGCGCTGACCCTCAGCTCTTCAGCTCAAGGCTAGCGCTCTACCACTTGAGTCACAGCGCCACTTCTGGCTTTTTTTTTTCTGCTTATGTGGTGCTGAGGAATCGAACCCAGGGCCTCATGTGTGCAAGGCAAGTGCTCTACCACTGAGCCACCTTCCCAGCCCAAGTCTAGGAGATTCTTATATAGCTCAGGGACAGTGTCCAGGCCTTGGGTTCAAGCCCCAGAACTGACACAAAGAAAAAGAAATATGTCATCAAGAGGGTCATGCTCATCCTGAATATGACTAATCTATAAGCAGTGTGTGTGTTCTTTTTCTCTAAAGAGTAAAAATAAGGTTGAATTTTTTTTAAAAAAGTATTCTGACTAAAACGATGGTGACGCAAAAAGATAAAAGAGGACAGTTTTGTGGATTAATCTCAGATTCTCATAATAAAAAAAATAAATTCACAAGGTATTTATTCATTCAACCTCTCTGTCATCCCATTTGTTTATCAGTTCATCTACTCCTCAGGCCATCTAACCATTAGTTCCATCAGACCTTCAAGTGGTCATCACCCATTTCTCAGTGACTCATATCCCACATTAATTGTCAGCTTTAGAATAGAGTGATCGAGAATTTAGTTCCTGCTCTTGCTGCCCTAATGCTCCAGTTTTCATTCTCTCCTTTGTCAATGAGAATAGCTGAGATTTTTCAGTGCCTATCACATTCCATGCTCTCTGTAAGCATGAACAGCTGTCCCTATGGTCCTGGTGCCTGCGGGTATTCCCTGACTGTCTGCCACATGCATGTGTAACAGACAGGGTCCATCCCTTTTTCCATCACTTTTGCAGGGTCTAATTCCAACTTTCCTTCATCAACTACTTCCTCCCCTACATCCTCTTCCAAGTTCAGCCTATGCATCACCTGGTATCTTTCAATGTATCACACTTTCACGTTCATCTTTTGTGCAGATGTCCCCTGCCTATGATACACTAAACACTCATTTGGTTTTCATTCTTGATCCTGGCAAAGAGAAATGACATAAAACAACAAATATGTATTTGTTCGCTACCTTGTTCCTGACACAACACTCCCCAAAATCCCTTGTAATTGCCATGCTGATAGAGGAGCACCTTTTTGTTCTATTAGTCTTTGGCTCTGGTTCATGATAGAGCACCTAAATTCCTTGGAACTTCCTGAGTGTTAGGAAACAACCTTTAATGATACAACTCCCAGCAGGCTCCTGAACAGCTTCAGAATGGAGCTAACATCAGAAAGGTCAAGCTATGGGGTTGGGAAGGTGGCTCAGTGGCAGAGTGCTTGCCTTGCATGCATAAGGCCCTGGGTTCGATTCCTCAGCACCACATAAGGAAAAAGAAAAAAGCCAGTAGTGGCGCTGTGGCTCAAGTGGTAGAGCGCTAGCCTTGAGCTGAAGAGCTGAGGGACAGCGCCCAGGACCAGAGTTCAGGCCTCACAACCAGAACCAAAAAAAAAAGAAAAAGAAAGGTCAAGCTATGATCAGAAAGGTCATAATCTCATCCTCTAGGATAGAGAGAGGGATTGAAGACAGAGTTAATAACCAATCATGCCTATGTGATAAGCTCCATAATAACGATTAAAATAGGTGCTTCAGAAACATTCCAGGTTGCTGAGTGTATCCATGTGCCAGTACGGTGGTGCACCCCAATTCCACAGGAATTAAAAACTCCTATACCTGGGATTCTTCCAAATCTGTTCATGTTCCTCTTTATCTGGCTATTTATCTGTATTCTTTACCATATTCTCTGTAATAGGCAAATGAGCTTGAGCTTGTTTCTCTGAGCACTGTGAATACCATTTTCTATTTCTATCATAAAATACTGGAGGTTGAGTGTTTTTACAGTTTGGGAGGTTGAAAGTTCAAAATCAGGTTGGCTCCATCTGCCCACCCTCTGATGAGGGCATTCTGGCTATGTTAGCACATGAGGGTAACAACACAACAGGAATGTGTGTGAGACTATTGAGTAGCACATGAGAAATAGGGGTCCCGAGGCCAGAGGTGAAGGAAAAAATGAGCCGAGGAAGCTAATCATGCTTCCTAACAGCCTGCTCTCACATGAACTAATCCAGTCCTACAAGATGGGAATCCAGTCCTGTTGGTAAATGGCTTTGTTCATAGGCCAGATCCTTATGGCCCCAAGTGTTTTAAAGGTACCATTGCCACAGTACCATTACATTGGGGAATCCAGCCTTAACCTGAGTTCTGAGGGGAACAGACTTCATTCTAACTAAAGCAGAGAGGACAAAACAAAGGGAAATCAGATGACCAGAAGACTGCAAGTGGCTTTGAGCAGACTCTCGAGTTGAGACATGTGTCAGAGTGACACTATCTGAGCTAGCTCAATGCTCCAGCAAAGTCCAAACCCCACTGTGGAAGTTCCCTCTGCCTGAGGGGTCATTTTCAATCTCACTTCTAACCTAACCTTGTTTGACTCCAGGCAGATGCTATCTGCCTATTAGTTGAAGGGACAGCCAGCTCCTAGAGCTTCAGGTAGAAACCAGAAACCTGACTTGGCAGATCATTGAAAAAGGTTGCCATTGGGCTATGCCCTAGCTGCCTTGAAGAACCCGGGGCCCTTGGCCCAGTGTGCTGGGATGTCAGTGGAGGCTTATTCTCCATTCTCTTTATTTTCTGCATGAACTCCTACACAGTATCCCACAGGAACAAAGCAGCATGTCCACCACTTCCATCTCCAAGATAGACCTATTGTAACTTAGCCACTATACGAGAAATGGTCATGCTGGCTTTCAAATGAACCAACACCACTGTTCATGGAGGAAACCCTCAGGATCTCACAGCAGCTCCATTCCTTACTCCATCCTTTCAAGAGGACCCCAACATTGATAAAAGAAATCAGGGATCACGATTTCCAAAAATGTATCCTTCCCCTTTTATATTCTATAGGTTCCCTTGACTTATTCTTAATCTCCTCTGAAATGAGGTTCAAACTCTTTTCCTCTCTTTTATGTCTTAGGCAATATTAAATTAATTTAGGCAATGGCTCAAGAAGGGCTCCTTCCTTCCATCCGTCTATAAAAGGTGTCGCCTGGAGGCTGCAGAGGATGCTGTGTCAGCCACATTTGGATGAACTGGAAATGGCGTTGTTATTTGAGCCAAACCCAGATTGTTTCCACAGCTAATTGCCTCAATCCTACCTGGTTGCTGACTCACAAGTCATAACTCCATACATGTATCCTGTCCATAAAGAAATGTTTGGGGCCCACGTTATCACTGATTCTGGATACCCACAAAGGTGCAAAGCCTTCTGACTGCTGCACATGAGTCTGCTCTCAGAATTGGGAGAAAACTGGACACAGAGTCCAGCTCTTCTCAGATTCCCCTTAACTCCTCAGCAATTTCTGTCAGGAATTTTCTCACTGTATCATCCATTCTGAAGCTTGGGGCTCAGGACATGGTGAGTATCTCTAAACGCTCTGTCTCTGCCTCCTTCTCAGGCAGTAAACCCTTGAGGTCATTTCTGTATTCTCCCCAGGGGATAAAAATACCAGAGCAGACCTTTCACCCACTTCTTCATCAACCTGAGTCTGCCTTTCCCATACTAACTACGACAATCCAGCTTGATGACTTTTTCTGGGGGCCTCCATGGTTAGGCACTGTGGGTGAGCCTTTATAAGCATGGTCTTTCTTGTCAGTCCTCAAAACATCCTATAAGGGAACATGTATGGACCACAGGTTCATAAGAAAGAGTTCAGAAACAAAGGAAGCCAGAATTTCCATCAGGCTATAAATCCTTGCTCTGCCCATCACACAGTGCTCCCATGTGCATGGATGGCTCCACTGCAGGCCTAGTACCCTTGGGTGTCCATGAAGCTGCTCAACTTGGGGACTCACCATGCCTCCAGTGCACTCGCGGCAATCCTGCAGGCAGTGGATATTTTCCCAGGTACTGTAGGCCTTCAGTCCTGCCACCAAAGCCTGCAGGGAATGATTATTGATGAGATCTTTTCCTTGGAAGATGTCCTCATCCAGGAGGACTCCAGCATACCTGCAGGACAAAGCAAAGATAGATGATGTAGTGGTGTAGCCAGCTATGTAAGAGAAGCTCCAGGGGAGAGTAGCATCTGGCATCTGAGGGCCTCCCCATGCTCTTCAGATCTGCTTCCCTGCACCATCTCAAAAGGAATAGACACTAAGGTATTACATAATACGCATGATTCTCAAAGCAATATGGCAGTCAAAACTGGTATACTGTATATACTGTACAGTCCCATTTGCATAACATCACATCTATAATGTCACAGAGGAGGTCATTGGTTACCTTGGGATATGAACAGAGGAAGGATCAACTACAAAGAGGCATAAAGCAAATCTGAGAGGATGCTGGAAATGCTTTGTAGCTTGATATTCTCATGGTTGTAGACACTTGTCAAATCTGTTTACATTGGTACACTTTGAATGTAGTCTAATATAAATAAATTATTCTTGATACTATTGATAGGGAAAAATAAAATTAAAATAGCAATGAGGTTCACAATATATCTAGAAGATAAATTTAGAACAATATATATATCTTTATATTCCAATATATTTTCATATATAAGAATGTCAACATGAGCACAAAAGTCAGAAGAGGAGAGAAGTATACTGAAAGTATACTGTTTGAAGGTTCCTACATCATCTGTCATGTGATATAACACTAATTTAATACCAAAGTAGTCAGAGGTATAGTTATTATTTTTTCTTTCTTTTTCTTTTCTTTTTTTTTTTTGCCAGTCCTGGGGCTCAAATTCTGGGCTTGGGTGCTGTCCCTGAACTCCTTTTTGCTAGTGCTCTATCACATGAACCAAAGCGCTATTTCCAGCTTTTTCTGTGCTTAATTGGAGAGATGAATCTCATGGACTTTCCTGTCCAAACTAGCTTTGAATGGCTATCCTCAGATACTCAGACTCCTGAGTAGCTAGGATTACAAGTGTAAGCCACTGGTACCAGGCTGGGAGTTGTACATTTTAAGTTCTAGAGAAATCATCAAGAAATAATAATGTTTATATCTATAAGATATTTCTTTGTTGTTTTGTATGTCCCTCCCCCACAGTATAACCCCTGTTTTCACTATTTGATGCTGGTATAATTTGTGGAGGAGAAGGGAAAAAACAAATTGTTTAAATAGGGATAGAGGTGGACCCATTGCAACAATGAGATGTACAAGATGTTATGTTGAAAATGAACTTTACAACTTTGGGGGGGGAGGAAAGGGGAATGGGAGGAGCAGGGAAGGGATGGGAAGGGGAAACAAAGGAGGAGGTAACAATGCTTGATAAGAAATGCACTCATTACCTTGCCCATGTAATTGTAACCCCTCTCTATGGTATTTTCACACATAAAAAAGAAATAATAATGTTTAAAGGCTAACAGTAGAAAGCTAGTTATTCATTTTATCCAAGGAAGACAGCAAGCTGGGTGCCATGCCTGTAGTCTTATTTACTCGGGAAGTTGAAATTTGAGGATCATGGTTAAATGCCAGCCTAGCCAGGAAAGTCCATTAGACTCTTATGGACTAGAAGTGCTAGAAGTGGAAGTGTGGCTCAAGTGGTAGAGCACCAGCCTTGAGCAAAAAAGCTAAGGGAAAGTGCCCAGGCTTTGAGTTCAAACCCCAGTATCAGAAAAAGGCAGTAGTAGAGGAAGAGGGAATGAAATACATGGGATAAATAGAAAACAAAATAAGAGGGGCTGGGAAGGTGGCTCAGTGGTAGAGAGCTTGCCTTGCATGCCTGAGGCCCTGGGTTCGATTCCTTAGCACCACATAAGCAAAAAGAAAAAAGCCGGAAGTGGCGCTGTGGCTCAAGAGGTAGAGCGCTAGCCTTGAGCTGAAGAGCTGAGGGACAGCGCCCAGGCCCAGAGTTCAGGCCCCACGACCGGACCCCCCCCCCCAAAAAAAGAAAACAAAATAAGATAATAGCTTTAAACTCAATCATATTGTTACATGGTAATATTTAATTTGGAGATTGTCAGATATGATTTTTTAAGAAAACAACATGATTCAACCAAATAATGTCTGCAAAGATCTGCCTAAAAATAAAAAGACAAAAGTTTCCTATAGAGAAGAGAAAGTAAGACTTTTTGTCAACAACACAATAGACTCAGTTGAAACTAGTGCAGTGCACATACAGAATGTTCATTGGATAAAAGGTATCTAAGGGGCTCATCTATTCTGAACTCCATTTATTGACAAGGATAGACCTTTGATGAGTCTCTGCAGATTGTGAAGTGCAACTCCACCATTTTTTTCCTAATACTAATGAATTCTTATTTCATGCAAGACATAGGTCTATATGATGTAAAACCCTATTTTTAAAAAGAATAAAACCTCTGCCCTGTTGTCTTGAGACATTAAATGACTGTATGTAAAGCCTTAGGACAGTAGGAAATCCTTGGTACATGGCAAACCATTGAATATGCTCTTACCTGAAGCTTATCCTTATAGGTTGAGAAGAAAGACTTCCCTAGACAAAAACTAAATGCAGGTGACAGACAGTGAAACAGGTCGTAATGGGGCCCCTCTGGGCCTGGAGCCCAGCCTAGCCTGCTTGAGCTCCCAATGTGGCCGCAAGTAAATAAGAGGCAGAGCCCAAAACAATTCTTTGGGCTAGTATAATAAAGTATACCTCTGGCCACTTTTGTATTAAATTAGTGTTATATTATATGACAGATGATGTAGGAACCTTAAAACAGTATACTTGCAACCAACGTATTAGCCAAGTATAATATACAATCACCAAAAGGTCATTTCAAGAACTACCAGATGATATGATGCAACATTAAGAACCCATAACTTTTATGTTCATATAGGTCATAACTCAAGCTAAGAATACTGCTGCAGTGACAAAATAACCCAGGTTGCCTTTCCAAAGGGTTTATAAGGGCTCCTCATTCCAAGAGTGGGTCTTTGGAGGCAGCTTTGAAGCAGTGACAACGTGAGTTGTGTCTCAGAAGATGGCTGAATCTCTAGATGGAGAAGGGAAACACTAAAGGGGTTGCCTATAAAGGACCCTGGGAAGAGGAGCAGGAGCTCAGGGACAGAGCGGGACATGAACCCTATCAGGAATCTATGTTTTTTTGTTTTTTAATTTAATTTTATTTTATTTGAGAACATACTGTACAGAGGGGTTACAATTACATGGGCAGAATAATGCGTACATTTCTTACCAAGCATTGCAGCCTTCTCCTTTGTTTACCCTTCACCTCCCTTCCCAGCCTCCCCCCTCCCACCCACCCAATCATACGCCCCTCCCCCCCACACACACACCAACATTGTAAAGCTGGTTTTGACATGACATTTTGTACTTCTCATTATTGCAACAGGTCCATCTGAATCCTTAAACGACTTGTTTGTCCCCATCTCCTCCACATGTTATACTGACATCAAATATAGTGAAAGCGGGGGTTACACTGTGGGGGAGGGACATACAAAGCAACAAAGAAATAATCTTATAAATGCATTAGAAACACATGCATGAAAGAAACAAAAACATTAAAATACATATTTAAGGGTTCATTTTCCTAACATCACATTATCTGACCTTTTCCACTTGACTCATACCTATACTAGATATTGCAAATAAGGGAAACCATGGGACCTATGTTTCTTTGGGCCTGGCTTACTTCACTTAATATAATTTTTTCCAAGCCTTTCCATTTCCTAACAAATGGGGCAATGTCATTCTTTCAGATGGAGGCATAGAATTCCATTGTGTATATATACCACATTTTCTTGATCCATTCATCTACTGAGGGGCATCTGGGTTGGTTCCATACCTTAGCTATGGTAAATAATGCTGCAATAAACATAGTTGTGCTGATAGCTTTAGTGTGGTCTTTTTTGTAAACATTAGGGTAAATGCCCAAAAGTGGGATTGCTGGGTCATAGGGGAGTTCTATGTGAAGTCTTTTGAGGAACCTCCATACTGCTTTCCAAAGTGGTTGAACAAGTTTACATTCCCACCAACAATGAAGTAAGGTTCCTTTCTGTCCACATCCCCTCCAGCATCTGTTGTTAGAGTTCTTGATTTTTGCCGTTCTAACTGGAGTGAGGTGATATCTCAATGTTGTTTTGATTTGCATTTCTTTTATGGCTAGGGATGTTGAACATTTCTTCATGTGTCTATTGGCCATCCTTCTTTCTTCTTCAGAGAAGCTTCTCTTTAAGTCTTTCGGCCACTTATTTATTGGGCAGTTGTTTCTTTGAGGATTTGTTGTTGGGTGGTTTAATTTTTTGAGTTCCAAGTATACTTTAGATATGAGACCCTTGTCCGTTGTATGGCTAGTAAAGATCTTCTCCCAATCCGTGGGCTTTCTATTGATCTTGCTAGCTATGTCATTTGCCCTGCAGAAGCTCTGCAACTTCATGCAATCCCATTTGTCCAACCTTTCTTTGATTTGTTGTGTTTCCGGGTCTCTATTCAGAAAATTTCGGCCTGAGCCAAGAAGACCTAGGGTTTCTCTTATTCCATCCTGTAATGTTTTCAGAGTGTCTGCTTTGAGTTCAAGGTCTTTGATCCATTTGGAGTTGATTCTGGTGCAGGATGATATATAAGGATCTAGCTTTAGTTTTCTACATGTAGTTAACCAATTTTGCCAGCACCATTTATTGAAGAGGCTGTCTTTCTTCCATTCTATTGTTTTAGCTCCCTTATCGAAGATTAGATGGCTATAGGTCTGTAGGTTCATTTCTGGGTTTTCAATTCTATTCCATTGGTCCTGAGGTCTGTTCTTATGCCAATACCACGCTGTTTTGATTACTATGGCTTTATAGTAGAGTTTGAAATTTGGTATTGATATTCCTCCAGCAGTGTTCTTTCCGCTGAGGAGCGTTTTTGCTATTCGGGGTCTTTTATTGTTCCATATGAATTTTTGGATTGCCTCTTCTGTTTCCTTGAAGAATGAGGGTGGAATTTTGATAGGTATTGCGTTGAATTTGTAGATAGCCTTGGGAAGTATTGCCATTTTCACGATGTTAATCTTTCCAATCCAGGAGCATGGGAGGTTTTGCCAT